TTCCATAATGATTTTATTGGAACATGCTATAAATAGCGCGGTGGTACCTTTGCCCGGATGAAAGAAGCGTTCTAATCGCAATTCATTATCGGCATTTTGCATTAAAGATTCGGCAATATAAAATACTTTTCTTATAGATGATGCTTTAACCGTTTTATTGTCTCTTGTTGAATCATTTAATTTGGTTTCTGATTTAGAAGAACGCGTAGATTTTATTTTGCTCATATTTGCTAACAAAATTTCTTTGCATTTATTTTTGCGCGAAAATCTTGAAGTATGCTTTAATCATAAACAAAACCATTAACCGCTGTACAAAATCATGTGTATTCATATTAAGAAACAAAGAATACTTGTACAAGAACGGCAACTTAAATGTAAACAAAAAAAACCAACCAATACACTCTCAAAATAATTTACTACTACCAAACCAAGCACGTTGTTTTGTTGTTGCAATTCGACCCACCACGACTGAAAAGTTTCACCACCCCGAACGGAACGTTTCACCACCACGAACGGTCTTAATTTTTTTTATTACGAAAGAGCAATATGAAGAGCGCAAATTGGGTTTTGTTTAGTTATTTTGACAGGAGAAATGCGCCAAAAACTGAAAAACGTAGCCAAATCAAACTGAGTTATAAAAAGTAGTGAATAAGTTTCTTTGAAAAAATAATTATATTTATTATAATTGTTATTATAGTAAATTATTATATATTATTATTAATATTTGAAGATGGTGCGAAATTGCGTGATGGGATGTAAGTTATTTAAGGGAATGTATGAATTTCCTAAAAATGACGAAAGAAGGTAAAAAAACAATAATTTATTAATTGTGGATTTAAAATATATGTTTTGTGTTTAATGTGATTTGTTTGTTTTGATGTGTATAAATACAAATTAGTAAAGCAAAAATATATGTGAGTATATATTTAATATATTTTAATAAAGTTGTGCTATGTGTTAATTTGTGTTTGTTAAATATGTGAAAAATCCAATAAGAAATATAAAAAAAAACAAAAATTGTAAACAATTTTTTGGTGGTAAAAAGAGTGGAGTATGTAAATTATATTTGTATATTAAAATATTCATATTCAAATGTATGAATAGTTTAAAGACTTTTAATATTATTTAATTTATTATTAATTTAATTCAACAATTTTATTTTTAATAAAATACTTTTATGCAATAAAATAACTTTTAATATGTTTTCTAATTAACAAATTTTACTATTTCATTTGTTCATGTTAAAAACACTGAATTGAATTAAATCGTATATTTCTTGGGACTGCTTGAAATTAGAAAATATAAATTTTTGACAATTTTTGTCAAAAATTGAGGTTGCTTATTTTGCGTTATTAATATTTTGTATTTTGTTGTTTTCTGTTTTATTTTCAACAGTTTCAATAATTGAATTGCCTTAATATAACAGTATTCTAAAACAGTAAAAGTATTCTTTGCTAATTCCGCAGTTCATTTACAAAACTGTATGTTGAAATTTCTTTAATTTTAGCGGGAAATTCATAAATAATAACACTAAATTGTTGAATACAGGCGAAATTAAAATTCATTAATAATAACACTAAATTGTTGAATACAGGCGGAATTAAAAATGCCCTTCAAAAAAGGAAAAAATGTTAAACAAACAAAAATTACTGATACAATGGGAATTAAGACCAAAAAAGCACAGGCTAGTCCTAAACTAAAGCAGGATATAAATTTGCAAGAAAAGTAAGTTAAAGTGAATTAATAAAAGAAATGCTAAAATAATTTATTTATTTCAGATTCAGACCCCGTGAAGAATCAAAAATACAATCAGTCTTTCCAGTTACGATCAATGAGTTCATTGAAAATACAAATATAATCGATGTAATTAAAGATTATATTAAAGATAAACATCCAACAGCCTTAGAAACATATCTCACGGAACCAGAAATCATGTTCAGGGTAAAAAACTCATATAACACTTTTTACAAAAGACCACAGCAACGATGTGTAGCACCACTGAAATATATTCGCATCACTAGTGACTGTGATGAAAACACAAAACAACGTTTGTTTAAAATTTCACACTATTATAAACATTTGTGTGAAAATAAAGATAATGAACATCAAAGCGTAAAAAAAAGTTTAAAGAAACAAGATAGTTCTACACATAAAAATATAAATAGGTAAATATTAAGTAGAGAAATGATTGATTATTTAGCCATTAAAAAATTTATGTATGTGCATTATAGCGTTACCGATAAAAAGATATTAGAAGAAAAGATCCTGGGACTAAAGAGGTATTTAAGTTATTTAAATAAATAAATTATTTTATTAAAACGGATTTTTTTATAAATATAGTATTATATCAAATTTTGATGCTAACAACAAAGAAACAAATGAAAAAGTGCGCAACCTTCCAGTCAGTTTTGAAACGTTTAAAAGGTTAACTTTTCACAATGATGTTATTGCTAACATTTGCCAAAGCATAAAGGAGTTGGAGTATGAGTTGCCAATTTCAAATATATCAAAAGAAGAATTATTTGATAATAATAAATTACTTCGGAGTTACTACAAAACATTTTACATGCAAACGGTTATTCGGACAATATTTCCATTGAAAATAAAACCATGTCCAGGACGTTTTAAGGACAAACTTTTGAAATATCCAGAAATTACGTCAGATCATGAAGGTAAATAAAAATATTTTGTCACAAACCTTACTATTAAGTAATATTTATTTTAGAGCCTACAGTAAGTAATAGAGATGTTATAAATGCTAATACGAAGGAACATTTAAATAAAACATTTATATTTTTTATTATTACAAATTTAAGCTGTTGCAGATAATGCTGTCGAGAAATCTATGATACATCAACAAAATCAGAAGACACCAACATTAAGTCCAGCACACTTGAAGTCAAAAGTCTTGCCGTTTCCAAACAAAAATGTTGGTTCCGATAATGGTATATTAAAAATTTATTTGATAAAATTTTTTGTTATTAACGATTTTATATTGCAGATTCAACGAACAGTGATGAGAATGAAGAAGATATTATAAATGTACCAGTGATAAAACCTATCGGCAACAAAACTAAATTAAATCAATGTAATAATATTATTTTCTGTTTTGGTTTATTTTTTATTTCATTGTATTTTATTAATTTTGTATTAAAAATAATTATATTTTCAGCATTAAAAAGTAAAGCAGCCAATGAGAATGCTAATCAACACGTAACAAATCTTCAAAAAGAAACAAAAACTCCGGAATCAAGTCCACTCATAAATGTTTTCTTGCAGACACGAGATACCCCTGACGAGAGTAAACAAAAAAGGTATGAATGTTTTAATGTTTTATATTAAATTTAAACTGAGAATTTTTTATTTCTTTTTTTTTTTAAAACTTATACATTTATTTATTGTATCTTCTCCTTTTAAAATCTTATCACTAATTACATATTACAAATTTTTGTTTTAACTATACATTGTATAAAATAAAATAAGTAAACGAACCTCACTTAGAACAATGGGTTAAATTTCATTGGAGTGAATGATAAGTGGTGTATCAAGGAAGCAGTTCAACTTTATCAGATTACTTAAAAGAAAGAAGCGGTTTTCACTTCAAGCTATTGAATATTAATTAATGGCTGGACGGTCAGCTCTTTTTAGGCAGGAAGTAGTGAATAGATGTGCGAGATTTCTTGCTAGGAGAATAACATGTTCGGTCAGCCTTTTATTGTATTTTTTTCTTATATTGTCAAATTCAGTTTTAACTAGGGGAATTTCTTGATCTCGTTGAATACTTTCATTCCTTATATACCATGGGACACCAATAATTGTTCTCAGTAGCTCTTTGGATAATTTCAATATTTGAAGCACTAGCGTAGCCAAATAGCTGAATAGCATAAGTCCATATTGGTTTTATGACGCTGTTATACAAGAGTACTTTACACTCTAGGCATAGGGAAGATCTACTAATTATAAGCCAATGCAACTTAGAAGCTTGGAGCTTCATCTGAATTTTTTTGGCTTCAATATGTTTGCGCCAAGTTAGTTGTCTGTGTTATGCCTAATGTCCCTCGACAATAAATGCATACAGATTGAGTAGTTTAAAATTACTCTTTTCTAGAAAGTTGTTTCTTTATTTATATAAAATTATCTTACAACTAACTTAACTAATTTTCTATCAAGGTTAAAATAATATGTTGTTAGTTATCTCTATTTTTAGTGGATTGTATTATTACATTTTATTGTTGTTTGCAAAAAGGTTCAAAATGGGATACAAGGACGGAAGTCCCGGTACTTGGGATTTTTCCTTCTATTGTCTTTTTCACATATATTTTCATAATTGTAATTAGATACGGTTCCTTGTATTTATAATCAGTAATACAATTTATCTATACAAAAGTATTTAAGGAAATAATGGAATTTCCCTTTGGATACTTGAATGATCAACAATGTCCTTTTCAAACAACATCCGGTTGACGATAACAGTAGGTTTAAATTATTTATCATTTAAAATAAGCAACATTAAAAGCCGTTTTTGTTGCTTTGTCTATTGGTTTGTAAGACAAACTTAAATTGATAAATATGTGGATCAAATCCACATAACACCTCCGTCCTTAAAGAAAGGCAGTGACAAAGTAATTGTCTTTACTTCCAGAAGCAGATCCTTAATCACAATTGTCCAGAAAAGTCACCATCAACTTGGCCACCAAAAGCTTCCACTCGATAACTTTTGTTTTGTAATATTTTTTACAATTCTAACATATAAATCAACATAAATACAATAAAGTTACAAAAGTATTGTTTTCTATAACATATATCTTAAGTTCTAAAAAATTATTGTATATTTTTTTATTTACCATTCATAACTACATTTATTTCCAGTTTTATTTGTTTTAACTGTTACTTCATTATTTGATTTTTTTATTATATACTATAATATTATTCGGCAAACGTTTTAGCGATTCTTTCTTTATATTAAAACATTTATTAAATATATTTATTCATAAACTCCCTTTTATACATTTTACAATAACTATTATTATACTTAGTGTCACATATAAATTTTACTTAGTTTTAGCTTTGTTAAAAATTCAATTTCTTCAATTCCATTAATTTTCACATTTAAAAAACAATCATCATGATAATAATATAAATCTTTTAAAAAATAGTTTCGTTTTTATCCTCTGGTATAATTATTTTATAGTCTACAGTTTTAAAATTCAAATATCATTTTTCTTTAATTTCATTTCTGTTTACATTCATATTCATATTTTATTTAATTTATTACAGCATACAAATATTTGTTACAATTTATTGTCATATATGCCTCAACATTATAATGTATATACTTAATTTGACAATGTTTACTTTTTCTTCTCATAAGGTTATTAAGAATACAATTATCCATTTTTATAGTGGATTTGGTTACTAACTCATTAACTGTTATCAATAGTTTCAAATTCATCTCAATTATTGAATATGGCAAAATATTCATTATCCCTACAAAAATAACTATTCTCTTTTTCTAATATTAATTGCTTATTTTCCTCAAATACTGCCACAATTAAGCTAATCAAGAAGATTAGTTTTCAACATATCTTTTAACCAAATTTTTTGAAAATTTTCTTGTTCTTTGATTTGTTCGTATAAAAACATTTGTTTCTGTAACCTTTATTATAGTATATGGACCAGTAAAAGTGTTTTCTAACTTTTTATTTTTTGTTAAATTTCTAACTAATATTTTTTGACCTACTTCATAATATGGTGTATCTGTTGCTTTTTTATCATATACTAATTTAGATTTTTCTTTTGAAGTAGTTGTACTCCTTTTTACTACCATTTCAATGTTCTCTATCATATGTTTAATATTATTAACGTATCCCCCTATAGTTACTAAATCTAAGGCGTCAATTCCACTTGGTCTATTACCTTTCCTTCCAAAAACTATTTCATGTGGTGAAAAACCCGTAGAGGAATGAGTTGTTGTGTTATAGCATAAACCTGCAAACTTCATAGCTTCATCCCAGTTTGATTTCTCAAAATCAACTGTATTCAAATATTCCTTTAACCTTCCATGTACTCTTTCTATAGATCCATTTGCTTGTGGATGAGCCACACTAGTAGTAATATGTTTAATCTTGAAGATTTTAGCTAAATCTTTCATTAGCTCATTACAAAACTCTGTACCATTATCCGTTAATATTATTTTTGGAATACCAAAATATGTAATCCATTCGTTTACAAAAGCTTGAGCAACCGTTTCGGCACTTTTATCTTTAAGTGGTGTGAAACGCACATATTTTGAAAGACTGTCTTGTATACTTAATGCGTACAAATTTCCAGATTCGGATACTGGATAAGGACCAGTTAGATCCAAATTAATTTGTTCAAGTGCACAAGTAGCATTTGAAACCAGTTGCATAGGCATTCTAGTAGGATGTCTATCAATTTTACCTAATTGACATTTTTTACAAGCTCTTACATAATCTGCAACCATATCATTTAAATTTTTCCACGTATATTTCTCTCTAATTTTCGTAATCGTTGCTTTTTGTCCCACATGACCACCTATAATGCTGTCATGATACTCCTTAATTATTTCTTTTATTTTCAGAAAATCTGTTATCTCGATAACTTTCCCTCTTTCCTGAACATTTTCCTCAATACTATTTTTCGAGTTTACTTTAACCAATTTATTTTCATTATTTTCAAATTCAATTTCCTCTTGAGCACTTTGCGGTTTTTTACCTTCTTGTTTGTTCTGTTCACTACAGCAACTACAACATTTCTTTTTCTTTTCTTTTCTTGTTACTGCTAAGACATTTCTACTCAAATGATCTGCTACTATATTTTCAACTCCTTTCTTATATTCAATATCATAGATATACTCTTCTAATTTAAGTCTCCATCGTACCAATCTTGATCCAGGGTCCTTTACATTGAACAACCATTTCAACGGCTTATGGTCTGTTCTTATCAAAAATTTCTTCCCATACAAATAAGGTCTAAATACCTTTACAGCCCAAACAATGGCCAAACATTCTTTTTCTGTAGTGCTATAATTTCTCTCAGCACTATTTAAACTCCTACTAATAAACTGAATCGGCATATCTTTGTTACCAGTTTCCTGCGATAGAACTGCTCCCAGACCTTCGTTCGAAGCATCTGTTGTAACTATAAATTTCTTTTCAAAATCTGGAAATTGCAAGGTTACTACACTAGCTAAACTATCCTTCAATGTTCCAAATGCTTTGTCCTGCTCCTCCCCCCAATAAAATTCAACTTCTTTCCTAAGAAGTTTATTAATAGGTGCTGCTATTTGGCTAAAACCTTTAATAAATCTTCTATAATAGTTGATCGCTCCCATGAACGACTGTGTTTCTTTAACACTCTTTGGAGGAGACAATTTCACTATTGCCGATATCTTATCTGGATTAGGTTTAACACCTCGTTCTCCAATAACGTGACCCAAATATGCGACTTCTTTCCTTAGAAATTCACATTTGTCTGCCTGTAGTTTCAAGTTGGCTCTCCTTAATTGTTCCAAAACATCTCTTAATTTTTCATTATGGTCTTTTAAATTCTTGCCATATACCACAATATCATCCATGTATACAAAACATTTAATTCCTTTTAATCCCATCAGAATGATATCCATCATTCTCTGAAAAATGCTAGGTGCATTTTTCAATCCAAATGGCATCCTTTTAAATTCATAATGCCCATGTGGGGTAGTAAATGCTGTTTTCTCGATATCCTTTTCTGTCATTTTAATTTGATGGAATCCATTTGTTAGATCTAGAGTTGTAAAGTATTTGGATGTTCCTAGTTGATCTAAAATCTCATTGATATTTGGTATTGGATATGTATCCGCCACCGTCATGTCATTTAATTTTCTAAAATCAACTACCATTCGCCACTTTGTTGTTCCTGAAGCATCTTTCTTTTTTGGAACCATCCACACAGGTGAATTCCAAGGCGACTTAGAATTCTGTATAACATCGTTTTCTAATAATTTCTTTACCTGGTTTTTCACTTCCTCTTCATGTACCTTTGGATATCTATATGTCTTTGTATAGATAGGTTTCACTCCTTCTTGTGTTCTTATGTCACAAGTTAACGTGTCAGTGAAACTCAATTTTTCTCCTTCTAAAATAAATAAATCGCTATATTCCGAAATCAATTTCCTAATTGATTCATTCTCCTCATCATTCATATGCTCTACTCTCAAACTTTTTTGTATACATTCATTTCTATTTCTTATTTGGAACACTCTTTCTTTCATTAATTTTTCTTTCTTAGGATCCTCTTTACAATTATTAACAATATTATAATTCCTAAGATCTTCTACCTTCAATGGAAAATCAATTAATACCTTTTCCTCACATTTATTTATAATGCTCACCAAGCATTTTCCATTTCTCATTGTACTAATACAATGAGGAATGACAATTTTTTCATCTTCATAACGTGGAACATATACGTCTAATCCATTCTTTTTACCTTTACTAACTTTAACGGATCGAAATACTTCCCTCCTTGGCGGGACAAATTCTTCAAATTTATTACATTGGAGACAATACACATTTTTATTAACATAAAACAAATCCTGGTCATAATCTATCTTGCACTTAAAATAGCCTAAAAAATCTACTCCGATTATGCCATCATATTCGTAAACCAAATCATTTGGTATCACGTGAAATTTCCATCTATAATTATCCGTTTTCCCGTTTTTATTCCTAATTCCTATTCTAATGGACGTACTTCCCATTGTTTTTTCTGCTTTTTTACCTATACCAATTAGTTCTATTTTATTACCATCATTCATCTCTTCTATGTATATACACTTAGATTTAATTAAACTGACACTAGCTCCGGTATCTATGAGGAATTTATAGTAACAATTTTTAAGATTTATTATTATGTAAGGACTTTCTTTAGTGAAGTTAATTGAAAACGTTGCCTTTACTACGTTTTCTAATGGTGAAAATTTTTATTTTCTTCCAAAGAAACCTTCTTCTGTGCTACATTTGAATAGCACTTATTCGCAAAATGTCCTGTTTTGCCGCATTTATAGCATTTTATAATTTTCCCATCATTGCTACTAGATTGTTCCTTGCTCGTGGTACATTTTGTAGCGATGTGTCCTTGTTTCCCGCAATTATAGCATTTTACCTGTGTTACCTTAACACTGAAATTTCGTCTTGTACTTTGTATGTATCTTATCCTGGATTCTTCATCCTGTGCAAATCTTCCCGCTTCTGATAATGATTTTGGACGACAATTGTTTACATATTGGCCGATTTCTCCATCTAAGCCATTTATGAATGCATTTAAAACAATTTTCGTTTCGATATAATTATACACCGCTTCCCTAACACTAGCATCTTGCGATTCTATCTTCGCATCTGCTCCTAATTTCCTCGACATAGTTTCCATAAATAATTGGAACTGCCTAACTGTTCGTCTCTCCTGTCTGGTAGATATTAATTCTCTATATAGAGCTAATGTGCTATCACTATCTTTATAATTTTGTTTGAGTTGAATCTTTAGTTCATCCCAGTTACCTATAACTTTGTTTTCTAATATCAGTCTTGCATTTCCTGATATCTGCGACTTAATATATTTAAATAAAAAATCTTTTTGATGCGGCCTTGCTGCGCCTATAGCATCATCACAAGCTGAAACAAATGTATAAAGTTCAGTCTTGTCACTCTTGAACTCTGGTATTAATTTTATTAATGTGTTAATATCTATCGTTTCTCCTAATCCATTTGGATTACCTGTACTACCTGAACTTTCTATATTATTTGTTGCCATTATGTATCAATTTAAATTAAAACGCTGCAATAACTGCTAACTATCTCTATTCAGCTAATGAGTTAATTCCTCAATTTCAAAAATTGTCAATTTAAAAAAAAAATAAATTATATGTTGAATTAACAATATTCACAATGAACTTAATAATTAATGAACAATATTTATAATATTTATAATCTACAATAATAATTATGATCATTTAATAATCTCACCAGCTCCAGATCAGGAATTGTATCAGCATTCTTGTTTCACGTTTATCTCGAATCCAAAAAAAATTTTTAAAGTTTATTTGACCTTAAGGATTTTTCGTTTTTATTTTTAAAATTTCTATAATTTTAACTCCACTATTTTTTGTAATTATTTCTTCAAATTTTATTGTTTTATACTCCTATTTCACCACTTAATATTTTGCCGCTTTATATTCGTATTTCACTACTCTATATTTCTTCGCTTTTATACTCGTCTTTCACCACTTTATATTTTATCGCTTTTATACTTGTCTTTTACTATATCAGATTTTACCGCTTTATACTCGATTTACACCACCTTATATTTTATCGTTTTATACTTTATTTTCACCACCTTATATTTTACCGCTTTTAAACTCGTCTTTTACTATATCAGATTTTACCGTTTTATACTTGATTTTCACCACTTCGTATTTTATCGCTTTTATACTCGTTTTTTACTATATCAGATTTTACCGCTTTATACTCGATTTTCACCACCTTATATCCCACCGCTGCCACCAATTTTCTTTTCTGTTATGCCTAATGTCCCTCGACAATAAATGCATACAGATTGAGTAGTTTAAAATTACTCTTTTCTAGAAAGTTGTTTCTTTATTTATATAAAATTATCTTACAACTAACTTAACTAATTTTCTATCAAGGTTAAAATAATATGTTGTTAGTTATCTCTATTTTTAGTGGATTGTATTATTACATTTTATTGTTGTTTGCAAAAAGGTTCAAAATGGGATACAAGGACGGAAGTCCCGGTACTTGGGATTTTTCCTTCTATTGTCTTTTTCACATATATTTTCATAATTGTAATTAGATACGGTTCCTTGTATTTATAATCAGTAATACAATTTATCTATACAAAAGTATTTAAGGAAATAATGGGATTTCCCTTTGGATACTTGAATGATCAACAATGTCCTTTTCAAACAACATCCGGTTGACGATAACAGTAGGTTTAAATTATTTATCATTTAAAATAAGCAACATTAAAAGCCGTTTTTGTTGCTTTGTCTATTGGTTTGTAAGACAAACTTAAATTGATAAATATGTGGATCAAATCCACATAACATCTGTCTAGATGAATACCTAAATACGTTATATTATCTGCTTGTGGTATGGGAATGTTATTTAGTAAAACTGTTGAAGATGCACTCCGATTTAAGGTAAAAATGACGTGTCTACATTTTAGTTTATTTATTTTAATTCGCCATTTTGACAACCATTTCTCCACCCGAAATAAGAGAGATTGAAGTTGGTTTGAAGCTAGCACAACGTTTTTGTTTCGACATAAAATTGTCGTATCATCAGCAAACGTTGTGGTGACGACTGAGCTACTTATTGGGATATCAGATGTGTAAAGTACATACAAGATAGGTACAAGAACACTTCCTTGTGGAACACCAGCTTCTATTGGGAAATTATTAGATATATATCTAATAATTATTAGTATATGATCTATATATAACTTTAAAGCTTCTGTTATGCAGATACAATTTTAAACTGAGTGGACATTTAAAGGTAATAAACAGCGTATTTTATGTAGGAGCCCATTGTGCCATACTTTGTCAAAGGCTTGTGTAACATCGAGAAATACCGCGGAGCAATATTCTCTGAGTTCAAACGCGTGTCTTATTTCGTTCGTTATACGATTCACTTGCTAGTTCCATGTTTTTCCCTAAAACCAAACTGGTGGGAGAGTATTACGTTTTGACCGTCAAGAAATGGTTTCAGCTTTAAAAGCAATGCTCTTTCAAAGTGTTTAGAAGAGCATGGCAAAAAGGTTATTGGCCTGTATAAAGAGGCAAGCGTGGGATCTTTACCTGATTTGAGAATCATAATAATCATGGGTGTTTTCACTCTGTTGGGTAAAAGCCAAATTTATTAATGGCATTAAAAAGTCTTGTGATAAAATTTATAGCCAAAAGGGGTAAGTTTTTTGATAGAGTAGTGGTGTTATTAAAAAAGTACTTTTCTCTACATATTATTTAAAAAATTGTTAATATTTTATCTTAGGCTTCAACTAACAATCACACATGATGATTCGAAATACGCACTGAAATTTCAAGACTTCGTTGAGAGCACCAATATTTTAGACCTTTTAAGAAATTCGAGCGATTCTACTGATGACGACTTAGTAAATTTAGCATTCGAATATTACATCAAATTTGTTACCAACCCTGTTAATCCAAATGTGGAACTATTTAAAAATTTGATGATACATGCAAATGAAAAATCAATAAAATCATTTTATACTATATATACTCAAAATAAAAAAGACTCGCCTAAAGAAGTAAAGGCTATAGAAGATATATAAGTTTAAATTATTATTATATATATTTAAAATTTGATTTTAATGTCAGTCATGACGTTAGTGACTATTTTAGGTAATAGATTTATATTTGTATTTAATATAGAGGTTTTGAACAGCACTGAATTGCAACAACAAATTTTTTATTTATTTTAAATAAATTCGATTTAATTAATTAATTTTTAACCAAAACTTCGATTAATTCAAAATAAATAAAAAATTTTATTGTTAAAATTCAGTACTACTCGAAACCACTGTATTAAAAGTAAGTTTGATGATTCAGGATATTTTCTGGATAATCAATATGTCATTTTGATAAATTTTATTATTACATGTATAATATGAAATACACAAAAAAAACATGCATGTAAATAAAATGAAACTTGTTTTTTCAAAATGAAAGTAGAAAAAGTAACAAAAATTTTTAAATACAAATTTTTGTCAGTTTTTGATTTATTTGTTCAAACGTAACAAGCCTTTTCTATTCTTTTTATAAATATTTGCAGGCAGGGGCCGAAAGCGAGTAAGTCCATTAATAGGAATAATATGTTTCCTGTCTCAATAGCTGAATTCAAAAAGTACACATATTACAAAGAAGTGCTACTTCAAATTTTGAAAGAAAAAGCCAAAGGCGATGAAGAACTTTTCGCAAAATTACGGAGCAATAAATTGGTTTGGAAGAAAGCGCTGCGATTGTATTACACAAATTTCTTTTTTAAACCATCGATACGTAAAAAATACACTTTGCGTTTGAAAGAAATGCCGCAAAGTTTGAAGGCAAAATTTTTAGAAATACCTGCAAAATCAACTACAGTGAAGGAAAGTAAGTAATAAACTCAGCTAAAGCAAATTTTTTATATTTTTATGTTGTAAAGATTTAGCTGCGTTGTTAATTCTTTGCATTAGGATTTCCAATCTTTTGGGGGAACTAAGGCCTTTATAATTTATCCACTAATTTGTAGGTTTGAATTTACATTATATACGTTTGCGTAACATTTTTTCTAGCAGAGTTGCACAACGTACACCAATAAGTGACCACTGCCCACTACTTTAAATATTTATATAATTTCGTTATTT